AGCCACCCTCACTTCTGGGAAGGGAAGGGGCGGCACCTCACCATGTGCACAGCTCGGCTCTCGTCTCCGCTGCTCCGGAGGTTAAACTGTTTCCATCCCCGGCCTCCTGTGGTCCCCGCGAGTCCTCCGGCCCTGATCTTCCCTGGAGCCCGTTATGTGGCATCTGTGCCACCCCACCCTAGACCGTGCCCGTGTTCGGCATAACCAGTCGATCCCAGCACTTGCCCACTGACCGCAGACACAGTCTCAGAGACCTCACAACGGCATTGGAACAGCCCCTCCCATGTGGCAGCCCCTACCCATCGGCTGCGGAGGGGACGAAAATGAGACCATTCGTCGTCCTGGTGACGCAGGGGCCAGTGCGGGGCGAGGCCCAGCCCGTGGGCCATCGGTGCTGACCGGTGCCTCCCCGCCCTCAGGTTTTCCACCGGGTTCGCCTACTACAGTTTGGCGATGGGCGTGGAAGATTTTGGAGTCAACCTCTACCTCCTCCAGGTCATCTTTGGGGGGGTGGACATCCCAGCCAAGTTCGTCACCATCCTCTCCATGAGCTACCTGGGCCGGCACACCACGGAGGTCATCGCTCTGCTCCTGGCAGGGGCGTCCATCCTGGCCCTCATCTTCGTGCCCTCGGGTGAGAAGCTGGCGGCTCCCGGAGCCCCTGGAAGAGGCTGGCCCATCAGGCCCCTGTGTCCGCGGGCGGGCGCCGCAGGCTGCCACGGGCCGGGAGGGGGTGGGGGCAGGGGCTCCAGTTCTGCTGCTTCTGGCTCGAAGTCACTGTGTTACCTTGAGTAGGTCCCTGTGCTCGCTGGGGCTCAGGTCTCGCACCTACTAGTAGAAAATAACTCAGTTGGGCTAGGACAGTGGTCGGCAAACCGCGGCTCGCGAGCCACATGCGGCTCTTTGGCCCCTTGAGTGTGGCTCTTCCACAGAATACCACGTGCGGGCATGCACGTACAGTGCGATTGAAACTTCGTGGCCCATGCGCAGAAGTCGGTTTTCGGAAAGGAGATGGACGAAGCAAGTATACAAGACGAGTGTGGACGGGAGAGTTGGAAGGGGTCGACCTCAGCGAACGTACCTCAATCAGATTGAGGACGTTTTTAGCAAAGGCCAGCTTAGGAGAACCCTAATTAAGTTAATAACAATGGACCTACCTCTATAGTTTAAGTTTAAAAAATTTGGCTCTCAAAAGAAATTTCAGTCGTTGTACTGTTGGTATTTGGCTCTGTTGACTAATGAGTTTGCCAACCACTGGGCTAGGAGATGTCAGAGTCCTTTCCAGATCTGCCTCCGGACAGCGTGCAGGATTTTTCGAGGGTTGGGCATCACTGGAGAAAACACGCTGGGATGGAGACCCCACAACCCGCCCCCCAACCATGACCTTGGAAAAGTTGCTTTCATTTTGTATGGGTGTTTGTGTCAATGCACCTATATCCTTCCAACGGAACTTGAGATATTTTAGGACAAGAACATGTACAATAAAATGTAAATGAGAATAGGGCATCGGAGCCTGGGAAAGACAGGAGTGCAGCAGGACACACACCCGCCAAGTCCTGGGAACAGCAGAGTGGCTGTTACTCGGCTTTCTGTTTGGAACTGAGCTTCCTGGCAGCCAAGGCAAAAAGGGAGGCGAGTTCTGCGGAGGAAGGAGAGCACGCAGGAGCTCCTGAGCCCAAGGCCGCCCCTGTTCTCCCCTCCGCAGACCTGCAGGCCCTGAGGACAGGGCTGGCTGTGTTCGGGAAGGGGTGCCTGTCCAGCTCCTTCAGCTGCCTCTTCCTCTACACCAGCGAGCTGTACCCCACCGTCATCCGGTAGGTGCTGGGCCGGAGACGCGGTGCAGCCACAGGATCGGGGGCCGGTGGGATGGTGGCTGTCCTTTCGCTGTCCTCTCAGAACCCCACACACAGGCTGCCCATCCCTGCTCTGCACTCCCCCAGGCAAACAGGCATGGGCGTGAGCAACATGCTGACCCGCGTGGGGAGCATGACGGCCCCGCTGGTGAGAATCACGGGGGAGCTGCACCCCTTCGTCCCCAATCTCATTTTTGGGGCCACCGCCCTCCTGGGAGGCGGTGCTTCCCTCTTCCTGCCGGAGACCCTCCATCAGCCCCTGCCCGAGACCATCGAGGACGTGGAGAAACGGTCAGTCCCCGCCCTGGCCTCGCGGGGTTCCTCCCGGGGTTCCTCCCGGGGAAGCCGGCCCGGCCCAGGGCTTCCCCTGAGCTCTCTCCCCTAGGTCTCCACCGGCAAAGGAGCCCAAGCCGGAGCCAGAAGCCGAAAAAGACCCCCACAGGATCCCCCTGCAGCCTTGCGGACCGGACCTGGGCCCCAGCTGAGGGCAACAGAACCCCCTTTCCCTGCCTCCAGAGACTCGTCCCAGCCAGGTCCCTGCCTGCCTCGGGGCTCCACGGGCATCTTGGGGGCCTGGGCGGGTCCCTGCTCTTAGAACAAGTCCCCTGAGAGCTTGGGGACAGTACCTCCACCACCTCATCTCCCAGCCCAGCCCCGACCCGGGCAAAGATGCGACCCCCAGCCTTCCCACCCGCCTTGCCTCGCCCTCCCTGCAGCCCAGGCCCGGCCATTCTTCTGCCTAGCCCCCCCCCCCACTGCCACTCTCCCCACTGTGCCAGCTTCCTTCCCCTGAAGGCCCTGGGCCCCCTGGCTCCATCCCAACAAAGGCGGCCTCCCTCCCCTTCTCGCCCTCCACCCCTCCTTGAAGGGGAAGTTCCAATAAACGCCAATGAAAAACTGCTGCTCAGGAAGGGGAAGGAGACGGGGCGGCCACGTATGGACGTGTGAGCTGCACATCCAACGTCTGTACTTGCATGTACGTGAAAGCACGGACACACGGGGACACGTGAGCTGGGCTGATGTGCACACATGCGGACACGTGTCAGTACGCCGAGGCATGCACTCTCCAAGCCTTACATATCAGTCTGCTCAAGCTACTGTAACAACTCGCCACAGACCGGGTCCCTTAAGCCACAGGCATTTCTCTCTCGAGGTTCCGGAGGCTGGGAAGGGCAGGATCAAGGAGCTGGCAGACACAGTTCCTTCCCAGTCAGGCTCTCTTCCTGGCTTGCAGCCAGCCACCTTCTGACTGCATCCTCACGTGGAGGAGGGGCGAGGAGGCATGTTTTCTGGGGTCTCTTCTATAAGGACACTAACCTCATCATGAGCCCCCCGCCCCAGGGCCTCATCTAACCCTAATGATCTCCCAGGGGCCCCGTCTCCAATCACCATCGCATTGGAAGTGAGGGCCTCACCCTATGAGTCTGGGCAGGGACATTACGCAGCTCAGAGCCAGTCCTGTGCGTGGGACAGCACGTGTGCATCCACACATCCCATAGCGCGTGTGAGCAGATGGCAGGACGAACCAGAGGGCTGCAGGCAGATCTTCCTGCCCTGCTCGCCCCACGGCTCTGCTCGCCCCACGGCTCTGGTCCAGGTCCCAGCCCCACGCCCACCAGGCAGCTGTGACATCTTCAGCCAGAGCTGCCCCTTCCACATCTGCTGCCGTGTCCCCCCCCCCTCCTGTCCCTTACCAGTCCCGTCCTCCCTGGGGGCCCTGCGTCCAGCCTTCCCCCTAGGTCCCCGCCCACCCTCTCCCGCCTGGCTCCTCCCATCACCAATTAAGCTCCAGCCTCTCCTATCTTAACAAAAACCAAATGAGCAAACGCCCCCTCCTCAGATGCCGTGTCTCCTTCCAGAGACCACACTGCCTCCTCCCCTGTGCGCAGCCAGACTCTCCGGAGGAGCTGTCAGCCTCCGCTCTCTGACCTCAGGCCTGTGGGTACTGCGCTCTGCTCCCACCCCTTCCCTGAAACACCAAGGGCACTCAGCACCCCTGTGCCGAGTCCAAAGGTCACTTCTCGTCCCTCCTTCTCACCTGGACTCTCGGCAGATTTGGTTCTGTTGGCCACGCCTTCCCAGCTCCCTCCCACACTCTGGCTGCTCCTTCTGTCTCCCGTGGGGTCTCCTCAAAGGTCTAGTGTGGAGAGCGGCTACAGCGTTCAAGCCTCGGACTAATGAGAGGGCACGGTCCCCTCGTGGCAAAGCCACGTGCAAGTCCCAGCACAATTACAGCCAAAGGCTGTGGTTGTGAGCTTGACCTGATGGTCCGAACCTGTGGGCCCAGGTGGCTGAGTGATATGGGCTGCGGGAGGTGCAGCAAGTGCTGCCAAAACAAAGCTTGACAGAGTTCAGGTGCATGTAATTGAGTAGATTCAAAACCCGTGAGAACGTTGTAAACATCTTGGCCACGCCCTTACTTTGCTTCGTGGAAACTGGCTATAAAATAAAGACTCGGTTTGCAGGCCGTGGCACTGTCTCTCCATCCGAGAGCAGCATCCCACCTAGCCCCAGCTTTATTCTCTTGTCTGTCTTCTTTAATCCTTCACCGACCCCCACCCCCAGGTTCACCCCTGGCCGTGCTGAGCGAGGCACAGTCTAGGACCCCAGAATCTGCTAACTAAACAGTTACATGACCCTACACCTCTGACGGGCCCAGAGGCCACTGCTGACCCGAATTTCCTTAATCCCCTGCTCCCTCCTGGGCCCAGATCTGAGCGTGGAGCTTCTAGTCCAGGGGTGGGCAACCTTTTTGTGATTGCGTGCCAAAACCAGCAAAATCTCTGACTCAAAATTCTTCTGCGTGCCAAGCCTAATTTTTTGAGAACATGTTACACCTACTTGATATCTCTTAAGGTGTACGTATGTGAAGAACCTTGAAGAAATAATAAAATTCATTCAAGTGACAAAAACACAGTATATGATGATGAAAAATACATTTATTTTTTAATGTATACATGTACACTGATAGTCCGACAGAAAACTTTATGACTCCGTTTGATATTATCAGTGGGACTTTTGCTGCTGCATCACTGATGACAGAGATTTTACATCAGGTTTATATTTTGTGACCTTCAGAGATATGCACGAGCTACTACTTTCATCCGTCAGGCTACTCCTATTACGAGACATAACAAAATTCATCACTGAGAACAAAGATTCACAAGCGTATGTGGATGAAAACATGGAGAGTAACGCTGTTGCAAAGTTTTTTAAACAGAAAAAATTTTCTGGAATGGCATTCCAAGTCCTCAATAGTTCGTTTTCGACACTTCTCTCTGGAACTCATGTCTCTAATCGCTTTTTTTCAATGTTTTCCAAGTCAACTCTAAGGTCAATAAATTTCTGCTTCCAAATTGAGCTACTCTGAAATTCAATCAACTGCATTTCAAAGCCAGCCATGTCTATGGTCTTTAAGATAACTTGTTATGTAAAAATATTTATTTATCTAAGATGCACCTACACTGAATTTATCTGAAAAATAAAAAAGTCAATATTAAGAAAAAAATTGTAAATGGAAGATTATAAGAGAGGGTTTTGCGTGCCAGCAAAAGTTACTGGCGTGCCATGTTTGGCACGCGTGCCAAGGGTTGCCCACCCCTGGTCTAGTCCGTCTCTTGGTCCTGGTCCTGGGAAGGCCTGTTAGCGTGAGGCCGGGCTGGTCCAGGTGCAGGTGGAGCAGGTGCGGAGAAAGGAGAGAGCAGGTGCACAGGGAGGAGGACAAGAGCCCGCCTGGGCCCCGGGGACAACCAGCAGGTCTATTTGCACTGATTCCTCCTGGTGCCAGGTCCCAGGGCCCGGTCAGCCCTGGATGCACTTTCCGGGCCTGGGTTCTAGCAGATATCCCTGGATTCTCCGAGTAAATCCCCCTTTTTGTAAAGTTAGACTCGGGGGTTTCCCTTCCGGTAACAAGCAGGTCCTCTCCCTCCGTCATCTCTCCTGGGACCCTCCTCTAACTCTCTCCCCAGCACTGGCCTCGGAAATATGACGCAAGCCACCAATGTAAGTTGAAAATTCCTAGTAGCGGCTTTTCTAAAGTTAAAAAAAAAAGTGAAATTGATTTTAATAATAGTATATCAGACATCACCATAAACAGCGGTTCTCAACTGTGGGTCTCGACCCCTTTGACGGTTGAACGACCCTTTCACAGGGGTCGCCTAAGACCATCCTGCATATCAGATATTTACATGACGATTCATAACAGTGGCAACATTACAGTGATGAAGTAGCAACGAAAATAATTTTATGTTTGGGTCACAACATGAGGAACTGTATTTAAAGGGCCAGAAGGTTGAGAACCCCTGCCATAATACATGGCATTTAGCCCAGTATATTCATATGTTACCCTTTCTATATGTAATCAATGTGAAGTTATCAATGAGATATCTTATGGCTTTCAATTCAACTGAGTCTTCAAAATCTGGTGCGTATGTCATCATGAGGCACATCTCATGTCAGACTCGCTCAGCTCAGCCCTCGGCAGTGGCCAGCGGCTGCCATATTGGACAACCCAGACACCCCAGGGCTTTGTTGATTGGCCACAGAGCTAATTACTCTCACATCAATATTTAAATATTTGAGACCGAGCCTAAGAAACAGGAAAGAGATCATAGTGCACCCTCACGTCGACCTTTCTGTGGCTTCCCATCGGGGTGAAGTGCAAGTGCTGTTACGAGGCCTGTCATGACCAGGCCTCAGACTGCTGTACCCCTTGACCTTGCACCCTAAAATCCAGCCTCATTCTTTCGGTCCCTGTACTGCACCAACCTTCTCTTAGCCCTGCCCTTCACACACGCCCGCGCTGACTTCCCCCCATCCCGTCCCACGGCACTTGGCTTAGGGTCAGCTGACAATGGGGCCACCAAGGCCTCCCCTGGGCTTGCCCAGCTCTTGACCTGGAGGAAGAGGAATGGGCTCAGCGAGGAACACTCGCCACCTCACACCACCTCCACCTTCCAGCCGTGCAGGACTCGGGGGGCGGGGGGGGGCTCCCAGGATGTCCTGGCCATGACCATTCCGGGCTGCTCCAGGGGATTTACTGCAGACACAGGAAGGGAAGGGAAGACGCCCAGGAAAGCACTTCCCAGTCACATGATCAGGACTCCAGGTGAGCTGAGGTGCCCGGCAGGATGCTCTGACCCTGCACGTGACCCACTCATTCTTCTTGCTGTTCCCAGAGCCCCGTTCCGGACCCCACCATCCCCTCCCCAGCCCAGCTGCTCCCTGCCTCCCCGCCTCCCCGCTCCCTGCCCCTGAGCTGGGCTTGCAAACGGCCCAGTGAATTGCCCTTTACTAAGGCGGCCCTCTCTTGGGCAGAGTCCTCGTACTGAGCCGCCTCGTTGGTTACTGGCCTCATGTCCAGCCTCCAAACGGCAGTCTTCCGTTTTGGCACCGGCCACCGGCCAGGGGAGCCAGGCCACGGGCATAAAGCTCACAATGCGGCTCCTTGCTCAGAGCGTGGCTATGGGCCTGGCAGCCAATCAAA